TTGTGCTACAGGTGGTGCCTCTGGGTCAATCGGGACTTTAGCTGAAAATCTTTCAGTTTGCCGATACTTTCACAACATCCTGGGAACTTTCAAAAATACTGACCTCCCCTTTTGCTCCATCCGTAGAAACCTCTAGTGAATTCACGTGAGCTCTCAGCTTCGAAACTCCTAGAGAAATGGCAGTTTCCCGCCCAAGGAGGGCGTGTTCCTCATTTTCAATGACAACAAATTCGACCCCACTTAACAGACTCTCTCCAACAGACACTTCTGCAGTAAACATACGTGCAGCTTGTAGTGGTTGCTTACTACCATATGCATACAACTTCTTTGAAGCTTTAGTCGACACACATGCAACCTTATTTGCTTTCAGATTTTCCCATACATTAAGACCTATGACATTGTAACTAGCACCAGAATCTATAATCATTGTTACTGGTAAACCTCCTATCTTCACAGGAATTTTCCCATCACTTGAAACATTAGAATCATCTAAAATGCAAAAAGCATATTCACAATCATCACCCTGAGTACCTTCAGTTTCTACCCGCCTTACATGGTGAGCTGCACCTCCCTTCTTTCCGACGTCTGGTTTACGCGGCCCTCCAGCTCCTCGACCACTGGTTTGCTTCTCCTTAGTTTTACACACAGCCTAAAAATGTCCTGATCCATTACACTTCCTGCAGTGCTTCCCTCTCGGTGGACATCGACGATCGTTGGCTTTATGTCCCGTATATCGACAACAAAAACATTTGACTTTTCTTGCGCTCGCATCCCCTTTGTAATTCATCTTTCCGCTCACACTATTTACTTCACTACGGACCTCACCACTTCCTCCTTCGATTGAACGGGCCGGTTTTTCAGATTCCTCCAAAGAACGAGCAATTTCTCTTAATTGTGGCAGTGTCAAGTTTCAACCCTTCTGAAGTAACTTCCGACGGAGTTCGTGCGACAAGCATTTGCTTATCACTTGATCACGAATTTGCTCATCCACAGTTGCAGTGTTTCCGAATTCGCAGGTTTGGGCTTTTTGTCTCAGTCTAGAAACAAACTGTTCGACGGTTTCGTTTGCCAGTTGACTTGTTTCACGAAAACAAGGCCTTTCATACGGAACATTCGCTTGCGGTTTGAAATATTTATTCAGGGTCGCCTTTGCTTTCGGAAAGCTATCTGATCCTCCTTCTTCGGTCAACGAGAAATGAATATCTTGCACATTTAATCCCGCAGTGCGCAGCAATAAAGCCTTCTTGTGATCGACATTTTTGACTCCTTTTCCGGTCGCAAACAATTCAAAATCTCGAAGCCATCTTTCCCAGCGTACGGAAATACCAGCACTTTCTGAACAGGCAAACGGCTTTAATCCGTGTGCATCGCTTAAATATACACTTGCCATCTCGAATAAACGTCTTCAAATGACCGTCCTCGTCGCCAAAATGTAGTGTCTTAAGGATTTAACCAAGGATTGAATCGGATTTAACCACCAACACACACACCATCGCTGCTCGTGAAAACATGTGTATTCAATCGCTTAACAGTCAGAGCGCATGCTCGATAATACAAACATGGGGGTAGGGACGGTAGACCTAAATATTCACATGTACTATAGGACGAATCACTGCTTTCTTAAAACAGGGATCCAAATTAGAAAACACCCAATCCACCATCAAGCAAAAATGAAGCCATTCATGTGAACTGACTTGCATCAGATCTTTGTTATTGCTATAAAATTCTGTCTTAGTAATAGCATTATAACGTTTGCTACTATTATCAAGGGTAAACGGAAGTTTAAATTGATCGGGTTTGGGTAATATTTATCCCCCACTTTTACTATCCATTTCATGTTCAGGGCCAAATCAATGGCGATATAAGATCTAATAGGACAATTCTTTATATCCTGGAGGGCTTTCCTGTCCGCCCAGGAAGTGGTGACGCGTTGGGTATCTTGTCCATAATATCGAGAGAGGTGTTTTTGAATAGCGGTTTGCACACTGCCAGCTAAATGCCGTTTTAAATTTATCATCATGTCCAGACCAATTCTGACCTTCAATAAACTCTGAGGTGTCACAAACCCTTCACATCCTAAATGAATGTTGCTCCCAAACTCGTGGATACAAAAATCAAAGAGGTGGGTTCTTTTGCTTGCGGTCAATAATATGACTAATCGCATGCATACTGAGCGAATAAAGCGCCACTCCCCACACACATGTAAGGGGGTAGGTAGTAGTAGTATAGGAGGGATGTTTTACTCCACTTTTTTGCGCAGGAATCTCATTAGCGTGCGCAGGAATAAATAAACGCCAATGACGTCATAACCTTTCGTCTTGATCTCATGAATAAAATGCGCAGGGATGCCATTAAGATAAGGTCATGTGCTATTTTTAGTTGGTTTAGGATTTCTAGTTACTTTAAGGTCGATAAACGTCTTCGTTTTCAATTGGTTAGTTAGAAAATAAGAAACGTTTTTATTGGTTAATTCATACTGTCTGAGGAGTTAAGTCAAACTTGTCTGTGACTTAAAATCACGGAGGCGTAATGTGATTATGCAAGTCCTATTTCCTGCTGCTGTGATTGTCCTAGTTCCGGTTCACTGACTTTTGGCGGGCAAATCGTGCATATTAATGAGGGCAAAGACAAACTAGCTCTTTTTTACACTGCAAACAATGTTTTACTTACCCCTCTCCTTTTCACAATTTTGTTATTTTCCTTCCGAAAGTTGGTTCTCTGGTCTCCAGTTATTTAACTTTCTACTAAATCGGAATAGACTAAAGAGACGTTAGAGACTTGGGACACGGCTCTTTAAACAAAGACATCTGAATTTGGAAAGACCCATTCCACGATGAGGGAAAGATAGATATAATAAGCCCTTTGCACGACCTGATCACGTGATCAACTTTCGATAAACACAAAACAGTTCAATTCTGTTAGCACAACCTGAAGGAGCATATTAAAATTAGGTAACTTTAAAATTTTCAGCCGTATATCTCAAAAGTAGCGATTGCAACGGCCGCCGAAAGTTGGAAGCACTTGTATAGGAAAACAACTTTTGCCATCCAATCACGTTTGGATACAAATCTTTGTAATTTCGAAATTTTCAAAACTGTCGTGAAATATTTCCTTAAGCATTACAGAGCGCAAATCTCCTTTTAATTCATAATAGGCAATTTAAGTCCTTAAATGCGTAAGGGAAAGATTTTAAACCATTCAAGGGTGACTGGGTGGCAAAAGTTGTTTTTCTCATACAAATGCTTCTAACTTTCGGCGGCCGTTGCAATCGCTTCTTTGAGATATACGGCTGAAAATTCTCAGGTTACCTTATTTTATCATGCTCTTTCAGCTTGTGCTAACAGAATTTTTCAAAAGTGAACTGTTTTCGTGTTTACCGAATGTTGATCACGTGATCAAGTCATGCCAAGAGCCTATAGCCTAACACTTTGTAGGTTTGCTTTCCTCCAAAGTCTGTCCGTTCAACTCTGGCAAATTGATGAGTGGCGTCTTCATACGGTAAACGAAAATAAGTTTTCTCCCACAGGTGTGTATATGTTTTTTTCTTTCGAAACCACCCCATTATAACAGCAAAATGTCTTTCAATACGAAATTCGAACCCACAACCCTGTATTTTATTAGAGATCTTTCGATGGGAAATAAATTTATACCTTTTCCATCCGGGAGTAATATTATCACGTGGGAAAGAATAATATTGTTTACCCCTACTTGAAGGCGCAAAGTTTTGATTCACTAAATGTTGTTCGCTAACGATTCTATGTTTAAAGATCGTCATTAAATGAATGCCGCTGGTTGTGATACAGGATTCTTGATTCCAAACATAACCCTCCCATTGCAATACTTGATTGTCGGCGAGTTGTCGACTACACCTGAAGGTGTCTCTGTCGTGACGGTTTGGGAGTGTGATGGAATGCAAGACTATTTCCTACGTTCCGTTCAACTGAGCCACTTTTATTTGTACAAGATCTGATTTCAAAATCCATGAATCAAAATCTCTCCAGCGGACTTTCAGTTGATTGCCTTTTCGCGCCAAGACTTTTTTTGACCCGAAATATTTGATCGTCCACATTGACTTTCTGTAATTCTTGTATGTAAAAATTACCTTCAACAGGAGTCCCGTTCTATTCTGTAATCTTATAGGAATCACTTGATTGACTAAAAAGACTTCCTCAGTCCTTTGTGGTAAATTGGATTTATCAAACGCTTTTTGTTTTTTACTCAATCGAACGCGATCCCCTACATCAAACATCGGTTTTTATCGCTTGACCTTGACCCATTTTCCAGACAAATTGAACCACACTTGTCGTTTATTCTTAGTGTTGTAAACGGGAGTTGATTTCGTGACCAACAGATAACTGTCGACTGCTTGAGTATCTTTAGACCTGGCCGGTTTCGGGCTATCAGCACTCTAAGAGACTTGTTCACACTCAAGTCCTAATCACATTCATCGTTTAATGCTAAATCAAGGTACTTTTATACATATTGGTAGCTAAATCATACGTGGGAAAATATAGTAGGGAATGCATGTGGTTTCCTTTCTAGTAAACACCCTAATTCGATTGAAAGCTTAAAACACTATTACACCTACATCACTTAAGTAAATCCTGAGCGGCTAGGTTTGAATAATTATTTCATCCTACACAAAATCCTACCAGTTTAAAGGGTGTGGCTTTTACGCTTTTTTGATCGGAAAGCACATCTAACTATCTACTTTACACGATGCACATTTTTGAACGCTTGCTTACACAATAGGGATCATATTTCCGGTTCCTATCAAGCTAGTAACTGATCTATTGTTCACTCACGATTAACAAGTCACGATTCATTGTACAAAGTGTCACGAATTCTTTAACTTTACTACATTAGCATTCACATCTTTGGGCGGCATTTTAATACCTTGGTGATTGGTGGAACTATAAAAACGCCTAAACAATCCAATACATTAGCGGCGGTGAAATAACGCTATGAAAGTTTAAATGTACGATTGAACCGTTCTATAGCGGATGCTTTGGTATCTCCTTTGGTAGAAAATAAGTGAATCTGACGTTTTTTCAGCAAGGCTCTAAATTTTGCGTTTTTGAACTCACACCCGTCGTCGCTTCGGCGTCAAAGGCGTTTGTCCACTCTGTTTTAGAATCTTGGCAAAAGCATCTGTCACCCTTTTGGGCGGACTTGTTTTTTAAACCCACTACTCGAGCAAATTTAGAGAGAATGTCAATGACGCTGCATTAGTAACGGGACTTATTATTCCATTTGGCTAGATGCCTACCTTCCATCAAGTCGATAGCCGACTACTGATTGAAAGAGCACCATCACGAGCTCCGTAGGATAATAGAGGCGGCGAGGTCTATGCAATGTATAACTCGGTAGTGATTGCAATAGTTGTTGGTAATGGGTTCATGATAACCATCACGAACATAGAGATTC